AGTCGTCTGTAAATGTCACTTCCAGTTGGTGGTGTTTTTCCCAGTGATTTTTGCTCCACACGGTTTACAGACGGTCTTGTTGTCCTTGTTGTCATATGTGAAGTGTGACCAGATGTCAATTCTTCGTTTTCATCCTAGACCTAGCTCTGACATTTCTGTTGTTCATGAGACATTGCCCTCGGACCGGGTGCACTGCAAAACGTTAGCATGTTGCTAATGAGCGAAGTCAACTGAAATCAGCCAAAGCTGTGTATCTAAGACTGTGCAACTAAACACAACTAAATATAAAGTAAACAACTGAACTGATGTGAAAACGTCCTCGAAACTGTGCAAAGTTCTGCAAACTCGTTTAGCTGTTGCGCCTGCATTTGCCGCGGCTTTTTAAAATGGCTCTGCTGCTTCTGCATAGATCAACCTACCTTCAAAGATTCACTCTGATTGGATTTCTTCCCAACTTGTCCCACAAGAAGAGTAGTTCTGATTGGATCTCTTCTCCATTCGTCCCTCCCTAACATTTTCGTCTCATTTTTATTCGTTGACTTAAGTGTCAGTTATATTTCGTCAGTCTTCGTCATTATATCTGACTTTTTATTTAGTTTTCGTCCGTGAAAAAGGTTTGTTGATGAATATTTTTCGTCATAGTCTTCGTCAACGAAATTAACACTGATTCACACAAGATATTAAACTGCCCAATATACCTTTTTTACAGCAGCCATTTTGGCATGAAACAGTAGGGTAAACACAGGTGTTATCAATGATACTAATGAAGGTAAATCTGCCATTTGCCTGCTGCAGCTCAGGCACTGATGGTTTTGTTCTTGTACATAGTTGTACTGTGTGGTACACTGTGAAGGACCTCCATCAAGAATCCAAACTAAATAAACATACATGAACCTTCAATCTTATTTAAGGAGGACAGGGGGGTGGAGGGAGCACGTGGTGTGGGCATGAGCTCATCTGATGATGAAGTAAAGACCTGGATTCTTTTTCCAAACTTTTGCAGTTAATCTTGCAAAGTTGAATGATGTGATGGAAGAGAAAGGACACATTTCCAATATGGGTGTGATGTCATATCCCTGATGTTTGCCTTCGGCTGGTGGAAAACTAGCACCATATGGCTGATCTGAATATCAATGTCAAACTGTGTCACATGCAGTAAGATGAGAAGACCAATAGTGTCACAGAGCTCTCTGCATAGTGTATTCTACACAGGGCTGGAGGGACAGCTGATGAACAATAATTTTACTTTTTCTTCCTTTCTATTGGTTTACAAAGTAGAGCTCACTGCTATATTAAAACAATTGATATTGATATTACCAAATAGACATTGGTGTACATTATTGTCTGCCTTAATACGTGCATAAGTGAGGGGTTGGTTGTCTCACTCACTTATTTCTTCCTCATGCGCATGTTGGTGTCAGGGTGTTGGATCAACTTTTCAGGAACTAAGAAACAGCCTTGTGTTTAGTTTGCTGACCATGCATCTTATTTCCTGAGTTTCATACGTCATACGTGTAATGTTATATTGGAGGATGTTGACATTAAACAAGGTCAAACAAAAAAACAAAAACAATGAGGTAAATGCATGTAAAAGTAGTTCTTGTGAACAAAATGTTCAGAATCCAAAATGCGCTGAAACATTTCCAACCTATTTTGCGACTTTTTGTAACTACCCCCGTGGCTCGTCAAAAAATTACTTTATATGGTTGCCTGGTCTAGGCAGAACACGGACATTCACAAAATGAAATTTCTCCACAAAATATGATCCAGTTTCACTGAAATCACTAAATAAAGTTATAAAGTTATAAAGTTGTGCTTGTTTACAGTAATCAGTGAGGCCAAGTCTCGAGAAAATACTCTGCTCCAGTGGCGTCTATCATTTTCCATCCTAATTCTCATTTGTGGTCTGATAAACAGTGAAGTCATGAAATTCATCAAATCAAAATGGCCAGAGGATGAAGCGCTGTTTACCAGCAATCAGCAGGCTTCTGCAAAGTTTGCCAATAGAAATCTCGTTTCCGACAGAAGATGATGCATGAAGGGTCACTATAAGATAAATAAAGATGTTTTTGAAGAGTGAATCATACAAAGTTATTCTAGTGGCGTCTCAGACTAAGAATATAGAGCTGGAATTGAGCTTAACACTTTAAGGTTTACTATGTTCTAACTGGCTTCCAAAAGTTCAGGTTCTCCAGCACCATAAAGGACAATGTATAGCTTGCTAATCAGACTGGATTGTCATTTCATTTATTCAGCCATGATGTACAAATACTCTACCCCTACATCTGGCACATTTAAAGTGGCCACCATTGCTTCAGAAGCAGGCATCGTCCAAGATGACAATTTAGAAGAAACGCGTTTCATTGATTCCACTCTTCTTCGCATCTTTTCCTTTTGTGTCTCCGTGTTTAAGGTAGGGAAGGAAGAAGATGCAAGGGAAAAACACAATGGGGAAATGGAAATGGGGATGCAACTAATGGAATTGACATGTATCCAGAGGATGTCCTCATTCTTAATCCCACCTACAAAGCTTTGATTGGTCAATTGTTTCTTTAACAAGTTTTAAGGAGCACAAGAAAAGATTGCGTTCCATTCAGGTCAAACAGACTCAGTGTTGCTATTGTGCATGTTGGCTCACTGGAAAGGCTCTGCTACACTAAATGGAATGGAACCTTAATTAGTATCATTGGTAACACCTGTTTTTACCCTACTGCTATGCATCAGTGTGTGAATGTGTATGAATGCGTTAGTTTCCGTTCGATGGACTTTGCCATCACTGAGTGAATGTGTGTGAAAGGGTGAATGTGGCACGTAGTGTAAAAGTGCTTTGAGTGGTCGAAGGACTAGAAAGGCACTATACAAGTACAGGTCCATTTACCATTTACCTTCTATTTCATGTCAACATTAAATAGCTGCTGTGAAAAAGGTCTATTTTAATCACTGAAGAATCAAGTGATGGGAGCAGTGATTCAGAGGTCTGGTACCAGGCTTTTCAAATTAAACTCACGACTGTACTACGATACAATAGTATTTTTCTCCATAATTGTAACTCATTGCAGTTGTACTTTCCCTGTGTTTTTGGGGCCATAGTTGAATTACTGATGCTTGTTTCTCTTGGCTATGTTCTTAAAAAAAAAAGTAAGTAAACTTACTCACTATGTCTGTAGTGCCTTTAAAGCCAGAGTTACAAGGTTTATCAACACACATAATTAAATGTGCCAAGTGTGTGCGTGTGTTTAGAGTAAATAACTGGCTGCTGCTAGGAGATGTAATGAGACATTATGATGATTATACCTCTCTCCCAGAGGGCGCTTTGACACCCGGGTGATGTCACCTCTGATTAGGCTTCACTCTGGAGTTCAACAGAGGGACAGCAGAGGAGAGGAGAGGTGGAAGAGTAGTATTTTCTGAAAGTCCCATTGAGGTTCACTCATATTCAAAGCAGGCATGGCCATGAAAGCAGCACAAATGAGACTTGAACATAGAGGCAACAGACCATGAACCAATATATCCTTGTATAGAATATAATCAAATAGTCCTACTCTGTCTAGGTAATGTTAATAGCTTCACTTATACATAATTGTGTAACCACTCAAACTCATCATCATCCCAATGAACTAACCAAACATAATGTACTACATTCTATTCAATTCAACAGTTCTTCAGTGTATGTGCATGAGCACATACACACACACACTCACCTCCCAACGTGGCCTGGCTCATTGCCTCATCATGTTAATAAAACATTTATTTATCTGGCAAAGCAGTCCAGGCGCTCTGAATGATCCTGTATGATAGCGATGCATCCTATCGGCAGACTGCAGATACATAATGCAACAAGGCCACTCAGTATCAAGAATGTTCCATTAGAAATTAAAGCTGATCTGGTGACTTCAAGCAAAACAGGAGAGAGATCTTATGTTGGTGTGTGTATATTACATTAGTGGTGTATGCACTCCAGTCTTAAACCCCTAAATTCATTTTATGGCTCTGCCTTTAGATTTGTTACTGGTGTAAGGTTTTCTACTCATCATTGCAACTTGTATGATAAGGTTGGTTTGGCATTGGTCAGAGAACTTTGCGGCAGATTTTTGTTTTGAAATGAGAAAACCAAAATTGGGAAACAAGCTATTTTCTGTTTTATGTTTTGAAAATGAAGAGCAGAAAAAACAACACGTTTTTAGTTTTGAAAATAAAAAACTGAAAAACTACCCGTTTTATTTCCCATATTTATAAATGGTACATAGGGAAACAGCTTATTTCCTGATTTTGATTTTCTCCTTTCAAAACAAAAATCCGTCGGCTGTAAAGTTCACTGACCGACATCACTAGTAAAATATGACGAGGATTGGTTTCTATGGCAGCCTGCCATCATATATCATTGCCCTATTAAACCCCAAAGTCCCGCATTAAGACACTTTGTGCTGCACACACTTGGAACGTTTCACAACACAAATTAAAACCATCATTACAAACTTCTCTCCTTTTGAATGTTGACTGTTTTAAATTGTTTTCTGTTGCTGTCTGTTTGTTTTCTTATTAATTTCTTTGTGTATATTTATTTTGTTTTATTTTAACTACTCTTACACTGTTAACCTTTTGACTTAAACCTTTGAATGTCTCACTTCAGAGGTGTGAAATACGGAAAAATAGCAATAACACAATTTAGAAGCACTCCATTACAAGTAGAGCCTGACCGATATGGAATTATGAGGCTGATATCGAAAAGAAAAATTCACAAATGATCAATATGATATAGTGAATATTCTGAGCTAGAATGAAAATGAACCTTTTCTATCTGGACTGTGCACTAATTTTGCACTGATATGACTCTGCAAAGGTAGTCAGAGGGCTGCTTTCTTAAACAAATAACGTTGTGAATTGAAAGTGTGTGTGTGTGTGTGTGTGTGTGTGTGTGTGTGTGTGTGTGTGTGTGTGTGTGTGTGTGTGTGTGTGTGTGTGTGTGTGTGTGTGTGTGTGTGTGTGTGTTTCTGCTGCAGGACGAGGTGATCGCAGTGTCTGAGAAGGTTGTAGTTCGACTGAAGGACCTGGTCAAATGGACCGTATGGGACCAGCACGCCTGGGACAGAGGAATGAAAGCTTTACCCCTGAAGATGAGCTCCATAACCACGGACTCCTTCCTCCGTTACCACGACTCAACCCTCAACTGTGGCCTTCACTTCAAAGATGTCTTAAGAGAGAAAGCAGCACTAGGTAAGAACAGATCTGTGTGTAAAAACAGCGTTTGTAAAAAACATTACATTCCAATATATTAACACTGGGGCTTTGGAAGAAGGAAGGTTGAGCTGCATTTGTTTTTGTTTTCTCCAAATTGTTCAGTTGTCAATGAGTGGCTAAATGGAAGCCTAGGTATTCTATTCCTGCATGGAGATGAGGTGGGAGAGTCAATAATGGGGGCTTTGTGCTGTCAGCTGTTACATCTGACTGCTGCTGTGAAATCAATAGTCAGTGGGAGTCAGAGGGCAAATCATTCTTGGTGATTTGCTTTTATGGATGGATGGTTATGTGAACAGCAATCCTGTATTGTAAATACAGGGTTAGAAGTATTTAAAGACCATCTGGTCTGCCCTCTGTGGGGATGGTTGTACTTTGTTCTAAGTTCTTAGTCAAATGTCTGGATTTGCTTGGTAGACAAACATTTATCTGGTAAAAAAAAGGGTGGAACTGCCTCTCAGTTGTTCTCTCTCCCTCCCCTTTATCGGTTCAGGTTATTCAATTTAATAAACTTCGCTACTGTTAAGTATAAGAGGTGTGCATCTCTGCCATCTAAGACGATCCGATACGTATCTGGATACGATTCAGGGACCATGCATTTTAACATGGAACAGTTCGGTGTGATTTGATGCCATCTGATACAGTTGTTAACATTTGTTTAATGAAGACATTTATTTTCCATTCTAAATTAAATAAGCTATAACTCTATAAATGTGACATTGCTTAACTTCAAATACATACATTTTATTAAATACTAGGGAATGAGGGTGTGAATTACAGAGGAGCCAGGGGGAGCTTCGCTCCTATTAATAAGATGCGCTCCCCTGAAAACATGAATCGGCATTATTCATTTATCTGTTTTGTACTCAGCATACTGTAAGTCAAAGGTCTCTAAAAAAGTAAGCTCCCCCAAAAGCCCAGGTATAGTCAGACACTGCAGGGAACCCCAAGTTTTTTTGTTTATGGGGAAAAAAATGGAAGACAATGTATCATTTCTGAATTACATTGTGTTTATTGCTTTTCCAACAGACGCAGACAAAAAGACTACATTTTAATCCCCTTTCTTTCCCGTCATAACAGTCCTTTGGCTCCTGTAAACTCCATCTGCGCTAATTATGCTAAAACGGATAAATTGGCAGTCACAAATTGTGTGATCTTAGTAAAAAGATTTATTTTTACACTGCAAACACTCCAGCCTGGTGTGTCTTAGCCAAAATGCATCACATCTGTGCCTAAAAACAACAAGTGCAAGAACAGTTGGTTTTTGATCCATTGTAGTCATGGTGAAGTAATAATAGCAGTGGTTTTCATGCTCACTGTGATGAAGCTAACATGCTGGTCTGTGGATTTTGGCCTACCTCCTCTCATCATATAGTTGCATTAAAGTATTACTCCACAGCCAGTATGAGAGGAGGAATGATTACAGTGGCAAATAACTCTAACACACACATGGCATATGAGTATTGTATTATTGCCAGAGAAAAGCCTGATCTGTACGCGTATATGTATAGATTTCCACCTGAAGTCCGTTTACACTTGCTCTTGTACAAATTGTTTTGTTTATCTGTGATTTGCAAATACAAAATACGTTTTTCCAAAAGGTTTTTTTGAAACTTGAAGTGCATTTGAAAACATTTTCTCCGCATTACTCATAACACACTTGTTGTAAAGATTTAGCTTTATCAATAAAGAAAACCTCACTTTTGAAAGACATCATGTTTTAATTGAGTAATGTCATGCATACCACAATATTTGAGGTGAAGAAGAAGAAGCAGGTGCGAAGCAGCAGCAGGAGGGCCTGAGAGCCCTGGAGCAATCAATGCTTTACAGAATAAAAGCAAAGATCTGTCTGAGAGACAAACTGTATGTTGTGTATTTGACATGTGTTTGCTTTGTACACATGTATGTATTCATAAAACCTAAGTCTAAGTACAGAGACAAAGTACTCTTCAACATAGTCAGCCATAAATAATCAATAAACACAAAGGAAGGGACAGAATATGAGAAAAAGAGAACTATCACAAGCAGGCCTGATAGGTGTTAGTGTGCAGGTTAGCCAGCTACAGTATGAGTGCTGTCAGAGAGGATTACAGGAGTCATTTGTTTCTGGCAGGTGTTTTGTTTCAGCTTGTAAGATTGTTCACCTACAGCAGCTCCACAAAAAAGCTCTTCTTAACTCACTTTCAAGGGGCAACACAATTAGGTTTTCAGAGCTCCCTGAAAATGCCTTGAAATTGGCACTTAACATATTATCTATTTTATTTGTTGTTTTTATGTTCAGATGATTACACATGAATGAAAACATACCTATAGATATTATATTCTATTTCTGACAATAGATCCTCCTAACTGTTACACACTGGACCTTTTAAATGGTGTGATAAAACCTAACACCGCAGCAGCTCCATCAGTTTCACGTGTTCAGGCACAGTGCTGCTGTGTACTAGAAGGACTTTGCCAGTGCTCTCAGCTCATCACAAATTCAGTGTAGTTCGTTGTATATGTCAAAAGAGAGCAGACATGAAGCATTATGTGTGTAAAGTGTAAAGCACACGCTGTTAGGAAATAATTATATAGAATGTTAAAATGATGTATTACAATCTAACACAATATAAATAGAATTATTATTATTATAGTCGGAAGTATGTACATTATAATGCAACAAATGACAATACAAAGAGATAAAAGGATATGTGTGCTACAGTATATGACGTGTAATGAATAATAGTAGTGATGACTGATAATGTTAATATTGAGAGCTAAATTCTAAAGATTGCAGTATTAAGTATTTAGTGATAGAATAAACCAAAGTATTGCACATTTACCAGAGTATTGCACATTAACTGTACTGACATTTCCTGTTAGCTACAGGCCGGCATACACTGATACTGCTGTCCATCTATCCAGCTTCCGCTTACACTCACCGGCCACTTTATTAGGTACACCTTGTTAGTACCGGGTTGGACCCTTGTTTGCCTTCAGAACTCCCTTAATTCTTCGTGGCATAGATTAAACAATGTGCTGGAAACATTCCATAGAGATTTCGGTCCATGTTAACTTGATAGTATCAGAATCAGAATCAGAAATACTTTAATAATCCTAGGGGGAAATTATTTTCAAGTATCACGCAGTTGCTGCAGATTTGTCGGCTGCACATCCATGATGCGAATGTCCCGTTCCACCACATCCCAAAGGTCCTCTATTGGATTGAGATCTGGTGACTGTGGAGGCCATTGGAGTACAGTTAACTCATTGTCATGTTCAAGAAACCAGTTTGAGATGATTTGAGCTTTGTGACATGGCGCGTTATCCTGCTGGAAGTAGCCATCAGAAGATGGGTACACTGTGGTCATAAAGGGATGGACATGGTCAGCAACAATACTCAGGTAGACTGTGGCATTTAAACAATGCTTAATTGATACTAAGGGCCTCAAAGTGTGCCAAGAAAATATCCCCCATACCATTACACCATCACCACCAGCCTGAACCATTGTGTTGTTTACGCCACATTCTGACCCTACCATCTGAATGTCGCAGCAGAAATCGAGACTCATCAGACCAGGCAACGTTTTTCCAATCTTCTTATGTCCAATTTTGGTAACCTGTGCAAACTGTAGACTCAGTTTCCTGTTCTTAGCTGACAGGAGTGGCACCCGGTGTAGTCTTCTGCTGCTTTAGCCCATCAGCTTCAAGGTTCGACGTGTTGTACAGTCAGAGATGGTCTTCTGCATACCTTGGTTGTAACAAGTAGCTATTTGAGCTACGGTTGCCTTTCTATCATCTCAAACCAGTCTAGCCATTCTCCTCTGACCTCTGGCATCAACAAGGCATTTTTGCCCAGAGAACTGCCGCTCACTGGATATTTTCTCTTTTTCAGACCATTCTCTGTAAACACAAGAGATGGTTGTGTGTGAAAATCCCAGCAGAACAGCAGTTTCTGAAATACTCAGACCAGCCCGTCTTGCACCAACAACCATGCCACGTTCAAAGTCACTTAAATCACCTTTCTTCCCCATTCTCATGCTTGGTTTGAACTTCAGCAGGTCATCTTGACCATGTCTACATGCCTAAATATAGTACACTGAGTTGCTGTCATGTGATTGGCTGATTAGCTACTTGCTTTAATGAGCAGTTGAACAGGTGTACCTAATAAAGTGGCCAGTGAGTGTATATATTCCTAAAAAAGTGTTTATTATTTAAAAAAAATGAACTAAAGTAGCTCAAAAGAGTATAAGATGATCCATGTGAACCAAATGTCCAGTACAGAGGACACAAGTCAGTGGGCTGGGTCCCAGGAGATGCCATCAATCTCCCGTCCAATCAGCTTCCCCCTGCAGCACACCACACTGAGAAACCAGAACAGAGCAGGTTGACAGCACCACCTACAGGCAGGGAGGAAAAACAGTACAGCAAATGATATGCTCATAGAAATACAAATACACATATGACTCAGGGTCATAACATAATATTGTTGTGTACAATGATAAAATTAATTTACTGATTTGAACCTGTGTATAAAGACATAAACACTGTTGTCAAGCACAAGAAACTGGGGATGTCACAATACCAGAATTTTAGTCTATACCAATATCTGTGAAATTCCACGATTAAAAAATAAAAAAAAATAACAATGTCCCAATCAAGTTTTTTTTTGCCCCTGATCCCTATTTGATATTGAGTGTTGGCTGATACTGAGTCCTGATCAAATATTTGTGTTTTCCTGAATAATACAGGTTGACAGCTCTGTGTTGCTCTATGAATATAAATTCCCAAGCTAACCAAGCTGTTAATTAATGTTTAAATACTTCATATATTAATATAACCTATTATATATGTGTGTGTGAACAAACTGTAATATTTTTTTATCTTGTCTTGTAGCTGTCTGGAGGGATTTTCCCTTTTTTTATTCCTTTTAAAAGCGTCCTGCAGAGTTTTTTTATTGTCCTTGCTGCGTTCTTTCCTTATCTGTGAATCTTTTGTGATTCACACGTACCGACATCACTACAAGAAACTACACATTATTAGCCAACTGGTTTGAGATAAACTACAACGGTATAACTACAGCTGTTTGAGCTGAATGCTAAAGTTAGCATGAGTACATAATGAGTGTAATTTAGAGGACTGCTAGCATGGCTGTAGAATTACTCTGATTCTTCATACCACTGTCCCCCTCTATTTATTTAGGTAACGGCTTGACCATGAAGAAGGTGCTGGTCCTGTCCTATCCCCGGTACTGCAGGTATCGCTCGGTTGTAGCCCGGATACATGAGCAACCCAGATCTCTGCTGACCAACCAGGTGGTTTTGGCGTTGGGTGGCATCGTAGTGCTGTCTGAAAACATGCACATCCTTTACTGTCGGGACACGTTTCACCACCCCACATTGCTGCACAACCAGAGCATATGTGAGGAATTTGGTGAGTAAGACATAATTCAACACAGATACAGCAATTGCAGATGCATACAGTCTTAACAGGTATGTAGGATTCAAATGTCAACTCTTTCAGTATTGATAATTTACCATAAAACTTCTAATCAAAGCAGGGTCAAATAAGGAAACTGCACCGCTTAAAACGAGCATGTAAACACAAGTAGGTGGCACAAAATTGTTGGCTAATTTAACCAATGAGATGGGAGATGCTTAGGGAAGAAACTGCGCAGCACTAATTGAAACAGATGAAACCAGGTCAGTCTTACCAAAGTGAACTCAGACAGGTCGGTCATGCTGAGAGTAGGGCTGAACAGTTAATCACAATATTATTAAAATGGAGATATAGCCAAGTGCCTTGTCAAGTGGTATGGCTCCAGATGAGAGCAGAATGTTATCTTGTGTCGAACTCTCTGGGCTCAAGCAGCTGTCTATCAACGAGCAGCAGCTCTGTCTCTCCAGTCCTTACCACACAACACTGGAAAAGCCACCGCAATACGCGCCAAGCAAATTGAATATTTTCAACAGCAACACTAGTGGGATGAGCTGGTAAGATAAAATTTAGCGACGTAGAACCCAGACACTGTTCGTATCCAGAAGATTAGAGATAAGGATGTTTGACAGATTTTATTTTATATGAAATGATGTACATAATATGGTGTGATTGATGGATTTGGATACATTTCCATAAATCTGGATATCAGCCTGTTGGCGCTGACTCATGGAGCAGGTGAGAACACCTTTATTAGGAAAAACTGAAGAAATCTGATGTACGCTCATTCAGACCGCTTCGAGATAGGAGGCAGTATTAGAATCATCTAAACGTTTAAAGAATGCAGTTAATCAAACGGTATGGGGCAAAATATGGCAGAATCAAGTGAGAAAAGGAGGAAGGAAGATAGATAAATGCTGGTAGTCAATTTTATTTAAGACATTTACTCATTTACTTTAACATATATTCTATTGTCTTAACACTGATGTCACAGGAACTGAAATCTATTCCTGCTGATGAACACAGGATTGACTTCCTTTGAATTTAGTATATATCTCAACTCTCAATCAGGCATCAGTAGTATTGTCATCAGCAGCCGTAGAGCAGGTTGATCCTCATGATGTCCCAGTAGGACATGCCCTTCCTCTGGCCGATCTGCACGTTGGCGTTGGGGATGGGGGTGATGGAGTCCCTGCCGTGCTGGATGGAGAAGGCTGTTTTCCCATAGTGCATGATGGAGGAGTAGTCGTAGGGAGTGTTGAGGTTGTTGGTAGCCTGCTTGTAGAAGTTGTAGGCCATCTGCGGGTTAATGTTCTCCCAGTTGATCCTGACGTAGTAGTCGCGGTCGCTCCTGGTCTGCTCGTGCTGGAAGCCCAGAGCGTGGTTGATCTCGTGCTGGATGATGCCGTGGTAGAGGCAGCCCTGTCTGTTGAGAGAGAGGACCTGTCTGCCTCCCGTTTTGCCCAGAGCGGAGAAACATCCGGCTCTGTTCTCGACGCTGATGTAGTCGTACTCGTTCTGACGGGGGACGAAACGGAGGCAGGTGCTGCTGTGGAAGGCCTTCATGGCGTAGTCGATCTTCTGCCTTTCCCAGCTGGTGAACTCACTGCTCATGGTGAAGGGGATCATCACCAGGCCGTTGGAGGCTTTCTTCCACAGACAGCTCTGGGACCAGCACGTCATGGCGTTTCTGGTTCTGGGAGCCAACAAGTCTCCTTCCAGCAGAATCTCATTGGTGGCATTGTTGGAGGTCAGGATCCTGGTGGTGATGTCGACAGTGTCGTCTTCGTCCATTTGGACCTCCGGAACACTTCCTTCCTCCGTGAGAGGATGTGCCTGAGAGAGGCCGAGCAGGAGCAGCAGCAGCAGCACACTGACAGAGGGAGTCATCTTCAGGGTGGGTCTGGTAGCTGTGGAGAGACTCCTTGAAGTTTGATGTCTCACTGAGTTCAGTCCAGGCTCTTTATACTCTCCTCTACGGGTGTGTCTGCATGAGGATTATGGGTTGGGGTCCACACTGCTAGGCCTAAATAAACCTCTTCAGGCAGGACTCCACAGACAAACCTACTACTTCAACATGGTTTGTTATCTCTGGTCGTTAGATGGATGAACAGTTAGTTTACTTGGTCAGACATGTTTAACTAGACATCTTAAATTGTCTTCAAGCTAAAGAGTTCATGGTATCTATGTGATACCAACTTTGGCTTTTATTTTCTTATTTTGCAAAGTGAAATAACTAGAGCTGAACGATAAATCAATTCATATCACAACTACAATTTCAAAGATAGATTTATTGAAGCCAATAGTTGCATCGTGTCTGCAACATAAATGTGACGTTAATTCTCTGAGTGGGACAAACAACTCTGTTGTTTCATGAAACAATTTAGACACAAAACGCTCTTCGAAAACCAGCAGTTTATCATTATAGCTATAACTTGCCAAATACGTAGCTGTTTTTTGCCCTAGAGTTACAACTGGTCGTCCACTAATCGGAAGATCAGCGGTACGATCTCCGGCTCCCTCCATGCCGCTCTTTTATGATAGGTGTGTGGGAGGAAAAATACAGAGGCAAAGGAAGAGAGGACTCCCAAACTCTGTCTTTTTACTTTGACTAAACTTTATAAACGATGCACGACGGTTCGACCTTAGGTCTTCAGATAAAAGGTTTTTACCTGATGAAGGTCAAAGGACCTTTGTGCACTACAAAATGGTTTTTAAATATTTAGGATCCCTAATTATTATTTTTCAATATCTGAGCACGGTGGGAGAGGGACATGTGCAGGAAGTCACTCAATTAAGGGAACATGGGATCCTAGTACCAGTTTGCATCCTAACAATACAATACAACAGGTCTTTGCTTCTGGCACCATGGCCCACCATTAAGTCACAGTTGTAGCCCTCTAAGAGAAAAAGTTTGGGCACCCCTGTACTAGAGGGTACGGACCGAAAAACCCCAAAAGACAAAACCCCCCAAAACAACTGACCATTCACTAAGCCCAACCCCCCTTAGTTACTGTTGCTATGCCCATAAAGCTATCCAGTCTAGCACTGCACATATGCAGTTTACAATGATGACAATGGTTCATTTGACCACTTAAAACTTACAGTAAGTTTTAAAACAATGGATCTCAGATTTTAGGCAGAGGAAAGCAAAAGAAGCTTTTCATCCTCAGTTGACGACTTGATTTGAATGACGTAAATGACCACTTTCACTGACAGCTTTTGTTTAGCTGTAGCTAGCTAGCTAAATAACATTAACTCTGTGAGTTGTTTGGAAAACTCCACCCCTAGCTGACTTTGTAATGTTTCTTATTGACTCTTATGAAAATGAGAAACCAGCATTTGGGTCTAAAATATTCCTTCATTAGATGGCTACATACATGATATCATGCCAGCTCTGCACTATGTAACTATGTAAATAAGACTGAGACTAAAGCTTAGAGGTCCTAGGTAAAAGGTCATTATCTTCATGAATCGATGAAACATTTAGAATACATGGAAATAAAAGAGCACCATCGCTCTAATATTAGAGGGTAACTATCTAGCTCCAGTATTATACTAAAGCATGAGGAAAAATGTAGTTTAAAACTATTTCCCTCTTAGTCTAGATACACGTAATACATTTCATTACCGAATAAGTCAGAGGTTAGATTTATGCTTTATTGTAAGTATTGTAATACATGGTTTCACTTTTACATGAGAATAAACTTTGAGAACGAGGACAAATGTATAACTTAAGCAAAGCCATCTCAGTTAAACTTCCCCAAACCCAATACAGAGCAGTACTGATCTGCTAACGTTACCTTAAACTGGGATATAGCGGTAAGCAGCATCCAAGACTAGTGTTACACCGGCTCCAGTGTATGTCTCAGTCCTGAACAGGCCTTTTTCTAACCTAACCTTTAACCCTGCAAAATAATAAAGTAGCTAATGATGTGCTAACTCACTTGCAGGTAAGACTAGGTAACTACTTAGCCAGGCATGCTAACATTAGCATCGGTGTATTTTTTTGAGCAGAAAAACACGCAGTTATACATCTCTTAAACCTTTGTTCTTTTTGGTTGGGGAAAAGCCTTCAGACGGACATTACAGAGCTGCCGACAGATAGGAGTGAAAATGATTTCCTTGTGAAGAAGGAGCGCAATAAATTAGAGGTACTGTGTGGACGGAAAGGAAAGAAGGAAGGAAAGCTGACAGAAACCAAGGAGAAACAAAGAAAATGAAGGCCAGTGGATGATCTCACTCAACATACTGCACTAAAAACACAAAGTTTAACTGCCAAACTGCTGCTAACCAACTTTATTGTAATGGTTTCATTTTGTGTTGACTTTAATACAAACAGTTTTTACATTTCTGACTGATATTCAGTTGCCTGAACGTTTTGAAAGAATACAGTCACAGAAGCTGAAATCCGTATCATAGATCGCGTCACTTTTAGTAGCTTTTGATGAATTACAGATAGCTGGAGCAAAGTGTTAATTTGTTGCATTGTGCTTCAAGCGTATTTGTTTGCTTAACAGTGAACTCTCAATCAGGCATCAGTAGTATTGTCATCAGCAGCTGTAGAGCAGGTTGATCCTCATGATGTCCCAGTAGGACATGCCCTGCCTCTGGCCGATCTGCACGTTGGCGTTGGGGATGGGGGTGATGGAGTCCCTGCCGTGCTGGATGGAGAAGGCTGTTTTCCCATAGTGCATGATGGAGGAGTAGTCGTAGGGAGTGTTGAGGTTGTTGGTAGCCTGCTTGTAGAAGTTGTAGGCCATCTGCGGGTTAATGTTCTCCCAGTTGATCCTGACGTAGTAGTCGCGGTCGCTCCTGGTCTGCTCGTGCTGGAAGCCCAGAGCGTGGTTGATCTCGTGCTGGATGATGCCGTGGTAGAGGCAGCCCTGTCTGTTGAGAGAGAGGACCTGTCTGCCTCCCGTTTTACCCAGAGCGGAGAAACATCCGGCTCTGTTCTCGACGCTGATGTAGTCGTACTCGTTCTGACGGGGGACGAAACGGAGGCAGGTGCTGCTGTGGAAGGCCTTCATGGCGTAGTCGATCTTCTGCCTTTCCCAGCTGGTGAACTCACTGCTCATGGTGAAGGGGATCATCACCAGGCCGTTGGAGGCTTTCTTCCACAGACAGCTCTGGGACCAGCACGTCATGGCGTTTCTGGTTCTGGGAGCCAACAAGTCTCCTTCCAGCAGAATCTCATTGGTGGCATTGTTGGAGGTCAGGATCCTGGTGGTGATGTCGACAGTGTCGTCTTCGTCCATTTGGACCTCCGGAACACTTCCTTCCTCCGTGAGAGGATGTGCCTGAGAGAGGCCGAGCAGGAGCAGCAGCAGCAGCACACTGACAGAGGGAGTCATCTTCAGGGTGGGTCTGGTAGCTGTGGAGAGACTCCTTGAAGTTTGATGTCTCACTGAGTTCAGTCCAGGCTCTTTATACTCTCCTCTAGAGGTGTGTCTGCATGAGGATTATGGGTTGGGGTCCACACTGCTAGGCCTAAATAAACCTCTTCAGGCAGGACTCCACAGACAAACCTACTACTTCAACATGGTTTGTTATCTCTGGTCGTTAGATGGATGAACAGTTAGTTTACTTGGTCAGACATGTTTAACTAGACATCTTAAATTGTCTTCAAGCTAAAGAGTTCATGGTATCTATGTGATACCAACTTTGGCTTTTATTTTCTTATTTTGCAAAGTGAAATAACTAGAGCTGAACGATAAATCAATTCATATCACAACTACAATTTCAAAGATAGATTTATTGAAGCCAATAGTTGCATCGTGTCTGCAACATAAATGTGACGTTAATTCTCTGAGTGGGACAAACAACTCTGTTGTTTCATGAAACAATTTAGACACGAAACGCTCTTCGAAAACCAGCAGTTTATCATTATAGCTATAACTTGCCAAATACGTAGCTGTTTTTTGCCCTAGAGTTACAACTGGTCGTCCACTAATCGGAAGATCAGCGGTACGATCTCCGGCTCCCTCCATGCCGCTCTTTTATGATAGGTGTGTGGGAGGAAAAATACAGAGGCAAAGGAAGAGAGGACTCCCAAACTCTGTCTTTTTACTTTGACTAAACTTTATAAACGATGCACGACGGTTCGACCTTAGGTCTTCAGATAAAAGGTTTTTACCTGATGAAGGTCAAAGGACCTTTGTGCACTACAAAATGGTTTTTAAATATTTAGGATCCCTAATTATTATTTTTCAATATCTGAGCAGGGTGGGAGAGGGACATGTGCAGGAAGTCACTCAATTAAGGGAACATGGGATCCTAGTACCAGTTTGCATCCTAACAATACAATACAACAGGTCTTTGCTTCTGGCACCATGGCCCACCATTAAGTCACAGTTGTAGCCCTCTAAGAGAAAAAGTTTGGGCACCCCTGTACTAGAGGGTACGGACCGAAAAACCCCAAATGACAAAACCCCCCAAAACAACTGACCATTCACTAAGCCCAACCCCCCTTAGTTACTGTTGCTATGCCCATAAAGCTATCCAGTCTAGCACTGCACATATGCAGTTTACAATGATGACAATGGTTCATTTGACCACTTAAAACTTACAGTAAGTTTTAAAACAATGGATCTCAGATTTTAGGCAGAGGAAAGCAAAAGAAGCTTTTCATCCTCAGTTGACGACTTGATTTGAATGACGTAAATGACCACTTTCACTGACAGCTTTTGTTTAGCTGTAGCTAGCTAGCTAAATAACATTAACTCTGTGAGTTGTTTGGAAAACTCCACCCCTAGCTGACTTTGTAATGTTTCTTATTGACTCTTGTGAAAATGAGAAACCAGCATTTGGGTCTAAAATATTCCTTCATTAGATGGCTACATACATGATATCATGCCAGCTCTGCACTATGTAACTATGTAAATAAGACTGAGGCTAAAGCTTAGAGGTCCTAGGTAAAAGGTCATTATCTTCATGAATCGATGAAACATTTAGAATACATGGAAATCAAAGAGCACCATCGCTCTAATATTAGAGGGTAACTATCTAGCTCCAGTATTATACTAAAGCATGAGGAAAAATGTAGTTTAAAACTATTTCCCTCTTAGTCTAGATACACGTAATACATTTCATTACCGAATAAGTCAGAGGTTAGATTTATGCTTTATTGTAAGTATTGTAATACATGGTTTCACTTTTACATGAGAATAAACTTTGAGAACGAGGACAAATGTATAACTTAAGCAAAGCCATCTCAGTTAAACTTCCCCAAACCCAATACAGAGCAGTACTGATCTGCTAACGTTACCTTAAACTGGGATATAGCGGTAAGCAGCATCCAAGACTAGTGTTACACCGGCTCCAGTGTATGTCTCAGTCCTGAACAGGCCTTTTTCTAACCTAACCTTTAACCCTGCAAAATAATAAAGTAGCTAATGATGTGCTAACTCACTTGCAGGTAAGACTAGGTAACTACTTAGCCAGGCATGCTAACATTAGCATCGGTGTATTTTTTGAGCAGTAAAACACGCAGTTATACATCTCTTAAACCTTTGTTCTTTTTGGTTGGGGAAAAGCCTTCAGACGGACATTACAGAGCTGCCGACAGATAGGAGTGAAAATGATTTCCTTGTGAAGAAGGAGCGCAATAAATTAGAGGTACTGTGTGGACGGAAAGGAAAGAAGGAAGGAAAGCTGACAGAAACCAAGGAGAAACAAAGAAAATGAAGGCCAGTGGATGATCTCACTCAACATACTGCACTAAAAACACAAAGTTTAACTGCCAAACTGCTGCTAACCAACTTTATTGTAATGGTTTCATTTTGTGTTGACTTTAATACAAACAGTTTTTACATTTCTGACTGATATTCAGTTGCCTGAACGTTTTGAAAGAATACAGTCACAGAAGCTGAAATCCGTATCATAGATCGCGTCACTTTTAGTAGCTTTTGATGAATTACAGATAGCTGGAGCAAAGTGTTAATTTGTTGCATTGTGCTTCAAGCGTATTTGTTTGCTTAACAGTGAACTCTCAATCAGGCATCAGTAGTATTGTCATCAGCAGCTGTAGAGCAGGTTGATCCTCATGATGTCCCAGTAGGACATGCCCTGCCTCTGGCCGATCTGCACGTTGGCGTTGGGGATGGGGGTGATGGAGTCCCTGCCGTGCTGGATGGAGAAGGCTGTTTTCCCATAGTGCATGATGGAGGAGTAGTCGTAGGGAGTGTTGAGGTTGTTGGTAGCCTGCTTGTAGAAGTTGTAGGCCATCTGCGGGTTAATGTTCTCCCAGTTGATCCTGACGTAGTAGTCGCGGTCGCTCCTGGTCTGCTCGTGCTGGAAGCCCAGAGCGTGGTTGATCTCGTGCTGGATGATGCCGTGGTAGAGGCAGCCCTGTCTGTTGAGAGAGAGGACCTGTCTGCCTCCCGTTTTACCCAGAGCGGAGAAACATCCGGCTCTGTTCTCGACGCTGATGTAGTCGTACTCGTTCTGACGGGGGACGAAACGGAGGCAGGTGCTGCTGTGGAAGGCCTTCATGGCGTAGTCGATCTTCTGCCTTTCCCAGCTGGTGAACTCACTGCTCATGGTGAAGGGGATCATCACCAGGCCGTTGGAGGCTTTCTTCCACAGACAGCTCTGGGACCAGCACGTCATGGCGTTTCTGGTTCTGGGAGCCAACAAGTCTCCTTCCAGCAGAATCTCATTGGTGGCATTGTTGGAGGTCAGGATCCTGGTGGTGATGTCGACAGTGTCGTCTTCGTCCATTTGGACCTCCGGAACACTTCCTTCCTCCGTGAGAGGATGTGCCTGAGAGAGGCCGAGCAGGAGCAGCAGCAGCAGCACACTGACAGAGGGAGTCATCTTCAGGGTGGGTCTGGTAGCTGTGGAGAGACTCCTTGAAGTTTGATGTCTCACTGAGTTCAGTCCAGGCTCTTTATACTCTCCTCTAGAGGTGTGTCTGCATGAGGATTATGGGTTGGGGTCCACACTGCTAGGCCTAAATAAACCTCTTCAGGCAGGACTCCACAGACAAACCTACTACTTCAACATGGTTTGTTATCTCTGGTCGTTAGATGGATGAACAGTTAGTTTACTTGGTCAGACATGTTTAACTAGACATCTTAAATTGTCTTCAAGCTAAAGAGTTCATGGTATCTATGTGATACCAACTTTGGCTTTTATTTTCTTATTTTGCAAAGTGAAATAACTAGAGCTGAACGATAAATCAATTCATATCACAACTACAATTTCAAAGATAGATTTATTGAAGCCAATAGTTGCATCGTGTCTGCAACATAAATGTGACGTTAATTCTCTGAGTGGGACAAACAACTCTGTTGTTTCATGAAACAATTTAGACACAAAACGCTCTTCGAAAACCAGCAGTTTATCATTATAGCTATAACTTGCCAAATACGTAGCTGTTTTTTGCCCTAGAGTTACAACTGGTCGTCCACTAATCGGAAGATCAGCGGTACGATCTCCGGCTCCCTCCATGCCGCTCTTTTATGATAGGTGTGTGGGAGGAAAAATACAGAGGCAAAGGAAGAGAGGACTCCCAAACTCTGTCTTTTTACTTTGACTAAACTTTATAAACGATGCACGACGGTTCGACCTTAGGTCTTCAGATAAAAGGTTTTTACCTGATGAAGGTCAAAGGACCTTTGTGCACTACAAAATGGTTTTTAAATATTTAGGATCCCTAATTATTATTTTTCAATATCTGAGCACGGTGGGAGAGGGACATGTGCAGGAAGTCACTCAATTAAGGGAACATGGGATCCTAGTACCAGTTTGCATCCTAACAATACAATACAACAGGTCTTTGCTTCTGGCACCATGGCCCACCATTAAGTCACAGTTGTAGCCCTCTAAGAGAAAAAGTTTGGGCACCCCTGTACTAGAGGGTACGGACCGAAAAACCCCAAAAGACAAAACCCCCCAAAACAACTGACCATTCACTAAGCCCAACCCCCCTTAGTTACTGTTGCTATGCCCATAAAGCTATCCAGTCTAGCACTGCACATATGCAGTTTACAATGATGACAATGGTTCATTTGACCACTTAAAACTTACAGTAAGTTTTAAAACAATGGATCTCAGATTTTAGGCAGAGGAAAGCAAAAGAAGCTTTTCATCCTCAGTTGACGACTTGATTTGAATGACGTAAATGACCACTTTCACTGACAGCTTTTGTTTAGCTGTAGCTAGCTAGCTAAATAACATTAACTCTGTGAGTTGTTTGGAAAACTCCACCCCTAGCTGACTTTGTAATGTTTCTTATTGACTCTTATGAAAATGAGAAACCAGCATTTGGGTCTAAAATATTCCTTCATTAGATGGCTACATACATGATATCATGCCAGCTCTGCACTATGTAACTATGTAAATAAGACTGAGACTAAAGCTTAGAGGTCCTAGGTAAAAGGTCATTATCTTCATGAATCGATGAAACATTTAGAATACATGGAAATAAAAGAGCACCATCGCTCTAATATTAGAGGGTAACTATCTAGCTCCAGTATTATACTAAAGCATGAGGAAAAATGTAGTTTAAAACTATTTCCCTCTTAGTCTAGATACACGTAATACATTTCATTACCGAATAAGTCAGAGGTTAGATTTATGCTTTATTGTAAGTATTGTAATACATGGTTTCACTTTTACATGAGAATAAACTTTGAGAACGAGGACAAATGTATAACTTAAGCAAAGCCATCTCAGTTAAACTTCCCCAAACCCAATACAGAGCAGTACTGATCTGCTAACGTTACCTTAAACTGGGATATAGCGGTAAGCAGCATCCAAGACTAGTGTTACACCGGCTCCAGTGTATGTCTCAGTCCTGAACAGGCCTTTTTCTAACCTAACCTTTAACCCTGCAAAATAATAAAGTAGCTAATGATGTGCTAACTCACTTGCAGGTAAGACTAGGTAACTACTTAGCCAGGCATGCTAACATTAGCATCGGTGTATTTTTTGAGCAGAAAAACACGCAGTTATACATCTCTTAAACCTTTGTTCTTTTTGGTTGGGGAAAAGCCTTCAGACGGACATTACAGAGCTGCCGACAGATAGGAGTGAAAATGATTTCCTTGTGAAGAAGGAGCGCAATAAATTAGAGGTACTGTGTGGACGGAAAGGAAAGAAGGAAGGAAAGCTGACAGAAACCAAGGAGAAACAAAGAAAATGAAGGCCAGTGGATGATCTCACTCAACATACTGCACTAAAAACACAAAGTTTAACTGCCAAACTGCTGCTAACCAACTTTATTGTAATGGTTTCATTTTGTGTTGACTTTAATACAAACAGTTTTTACATTTCTGACTGATATTCAGTTGCCTGAACGTTTTGAAAGAATACAGTCACAGAAGCTGAAATCCGTATCATAGATCGCGTCACTTTTAGTAGCTTTTGATGAATTACAGATAGCTGGAGCAAAGTGTTAATTTGTTGCATTGTGCTTCAAGCGTATTTGTTTGCTTAACAGTGAACTCTCAATCAGGCATCAGTAGTATTGTCATCAGCAGCTGTAGAGCAGGTTGATCCTCATGATGTCCCAGTAGGACATGCCCTTCCTCTGGCCGATCTGCACGTTGGCGTTGGGGATGGGGGGTGATGGAGTCCCTGCCGTGCTGGATGGAGAAGGCTGTTTTCCCATAGTGCATGATGGAGGAGTAGTCGTAGGGAGTGTTGAGGTTGTTGGTAGCCTGCTTGTAGAAGTTGTAGGCCATCTGCGGGTTAATGTTCTCCCAGTTGATCCTGACGTAGTAGTCGCGGTCGCTCCTGGTCTGCTCGTGCTGGAAGCCCAGAGCGTGGTTGATCTCGTGCTGGATGATGCCGTGGTAGAGGCAGCCCTGTCTGTTGAGAGAGAGGACCTGTCTGCCTCCCGTTTTACCCAGAGCGGAGAAACATCCGGCTCTGTTCTCGACGCTGATGTAGTCGTACTCGTTCTGACGGGGGACGAAACGGAGGCAGGTGCTGCTGTGGAAGGCCTTCATGGCGTAGTCGATCTTCTGCCTTTCCCAGCTGGTGAACTCACTGCTCATGGTGAAGGGGATCATCACCAGGCCGTTGGAGGCTTTCTTCCACAGACAGCTCTGGGACCAGCACGTCATGGCGTTTCTGGTTCTGGGAGCCAACAAGTCTCCTTCCAGCAGAATCTCATTGGTGGCATTGTTGGAGGTCAGGATCCTGGTGGTGATGTCGACAGTGTCGTCTTCGTCCATTTGGACCTCCGGAACACTTTCTTCCTCCGTGAGAGGATGTGCCTGAGAGAGGCCGAGCAGGAGCAGCAGCAGCAGCACACTGACAGAGGGAGTCATCTTCAGGGTGGGTCTGGTAGCTGTGGAGAGACTCCTTGAAGTTTGATGTCTCACTGAGTTCAGTCCAGGCTCTTTATACTCTCCTCTAGAGGTGTGTCTGCATGAGGATTATGGGTTGGGGTCCACACTGCTAGGCCTAAATAAACCTCTTCAGGCAGGACTCCACAGACAAACCTACTACTTCAACATGGTTTGTTATCTCTGGTCGTTAGATGGATGAACAGTTAGTTTACTTGGTCAGACATGTTTAACTAGACATCTTAAATTGTCTTCAAGCTAAAGAGTTCATGGTATCTATGTGATACCAACTTTGGCTTTTATTTTCTTATTTTGCAAAGTGAAATAACTAGAGCTGAACGATAAATCAATTCATATCACAACTACAATTTCAAAGATAGATTTATTGAAGCCAATAGTTGCATCGTGTCTGCAACATAAATGTGACGTTAATTCTCTGAGTGGGACAAACAACTCTGTTGTTTCATGAAACAATTTAGACACAAAACGCTCTTCGAAAACCAGCAGTTTATCATTATAGCTATAACTTGCCAAATACGTAGCTGTTTTTTGCCCTAGAGTTACAACTGGTCGTCCACTAATCGGAAGATCAGCGGTACGATCTCCGGCTCCCTCCATGCCGCTCTTTTATGATAGGTGTGTGGGAGGAAAAATACAGAGGCAAAGGAAGAGAGGACTCCCAAACTCTGTCTTTTTACTTTGACTAAACTTTATAAACGATGCACGACGGTTCGACCTTAGGTCTTCAGATAAAAGGTTTTTACCTGATGAAGGTCAAAGGACCTTTGTGCACTACAAAATGGTTTTTAAATATTTAGGATCCCTAATTATTATTTTTCAATATCTGAGCAGGGTGGGAGAGGGACATGTGCAGGAAGTCACTCAATTAAGGGAACATGGGATCCTAGTACCAGTTTGCATCCTAACAATACAATACAACAGGTCTTTGCTTCTGGCACCATGGCCCACCATTAAGTCACAGTTGTAGCCCTCTAAGAGAAAAAGTTTGGGCACCCCTGTACTAGAGGGTACGGACCGAAAAACCCCAAATGACAAAACCCCCCAAAACAACTGACCATTCACTAAGCCCAACCCCCCTTAGTTACTGTTGCTATGCCCATAAAGCTATCCAGTCTAGCACTGCACATATGCAGTTTACAATGATGACAATGGTTCATTTGACCACTTAAAACTTACAGTAAGTTTTAAAACAATGGATCTCAGATTTTAGGCAGAGGAAAGCAAAAGAAGCTTTTCATCCTCAGTTGACGACTTGATTTGAATGACGTAAATGACCACTTTCACTGACAGCTTTTGTTTAGCTGTAGCTAGCTAGCTAAATAACATTAACTCTGTGAGTTGTTTGGAAAACTCCACCCCTAGCTGACTTTGTAATGTTTCTTATTGACTCTTGTGAAAATGAGAAACCAGCATTTGGGTCTAAAATATTCCTTCATTAGATGGCTACATACATGATATCATGCCAGCTCTGCACTATGTAACTATGTAAATAAGACTGAGGCTAAAGCTTAGAGGTCCTAGGTAAAAGGTCATTATCTTCATGAATCGATGAAACATTTAGAATACATGGAAATCAAAGAGCACCATCGCTCTAATATTAGAGGGTAACTATCTAGCTCCAGTATTATACTAAAGCATGAGGAAAAATGTAGTTTAAAACTATTTCCCTCTTAGTCTAGATACACGTAATACATTTCATTACCGAATAAGTCAGAGGTTAGATTTATGCTTTATTGTAAGTATTGTAATACATGGTTTCACTTTTACATGAGAATAAACTTTGAGAACGAGGACAAATGTATAACTTAAGCAAAGCCATCTCAGTTAAACTTCCCCAAACCCAATACAGAGCAGTACTGATCTGCTAACGTTACCTTAAACTGGGATATAGCGGTAAGCAGCATCCAAGACTAGTGTTACACCGGCTCCAGTGTATGTCTCAGTCCTGAACAGGCCTTTTTCTAACCTAACCTTTAACCCTGCAAAATAATAAAGTAGCTAATGATGTGCTAACTCACTTGCAGGTAAGACTAGGTAACTACTTAGCCAGGCATGCTAACATTAGCATCGGTGTATTTTTTGAGCAGAAAAACACGCAGTTATACATCTCTTAAACCTTTGTTCTTTTTGGTTGGGGAAAAGCCTTCAGACGGACATTACAGAGCTGCCGACAGATAGGAGTGAAAATGATTTCCTTGTGAAGAAGGAGCGCAATAAATTAGAGGTACTGTGTGGACGGAAAGGAAAGAAGGAAGGAAAGCTGACAGAAACCAAGGAGAAACAAAGAAAATGAAGGCCAGTGGATGATCTCACTCAACATACTGCACTAAAAACACAAAGTTTAACTGCCAAACTGCTGCTAACCAACTTTATTGTAATGGTTTCATTTTGTGTTGACTTTAATACAAACAGTTTTTACATTTCTGACTGATATTCAGTTGCCTGAACGTTTTGAAAGAATACAGTCACAGAAGCTGAAATCCGTATCATAGATCGCGTCACTTTTAGTAGCTTTTGATGAATTACAGATAGCTGGAGCAAAGTGTTAATTTGTTGCATTGTGCTTCAAGCGTATTTGTTTGCTTAACAGTGAACTCTCAATCAGGCATCAGTAGTATTGTCATCAGCAGCTGTAGAGCAGGTTGATCCTCATGATGTCCCAGTAGGACATGCCCTGCCTCTGGCCGATCTGCACGTTGGCGTTGGGGATGGGGGTGATGGAGTCCCTGCCGTGCTGGATGGAGAAGGCTGTTTTCCCATAGTGCATGATGGAGGAGTAGTCGTAGGGAGTGTTGAGGTTGTTGGTAGCCTGCTTGTAGAAGTTGTAGGCCATCTGCGGGTTAATGTTCTCCCAGTTGATCCTGACGTAGTAGTCGCGGTCGCTCCTGGTCTGCTCGTGCTGGAAGCCCAGAGCGTGGTTGATCTCGTGCTGGATGATGCCGTGGTAGAGGCAGCCCTGTCTGTTGAGAGAGAGGACCTGTCTGCCTCCCGTTTTACCCAGAGCGGAGAAACATCCGGCTCTGTTCTCGACGCTGATGTAGTCGTACTCGTTCTGACGGGGGACGAAACGGAGGCAGGTGCTGCTGTGGAAGGCCTTCATGGCGTAGTCGATCTTCTGCCTTTCCCAGCTGGTGAACTCACTGCTCATGGTGAAGGGGATCATCACCAGGCCGTTGGAGGCTTTCTTCCACAGACAGCTCTGGGACCAGCACGTCATGGCGTTTCTGGTTCTGGGAGCCAACAAGTCTCCTTCCAGCAGAATCTCATTGGTGGCATTGTTGGAGGTCAGGATCCTGGTGGTGATGTCGACAGTGTCGTCTTCGTCCATTTGGACCTCCGGAACACTTTCTTCCTCCGTGAGAGGATGTGCCTGAGAGAGGCCGAGCAGGAGCAGCAGCAGCAGCACACTGACAGAGGGAGTCATCTTCAGGGTGGGTCTGGTAGCTGTGGAGAGACTCCTTGAAGTTTGATGTCTCACTGAGTTCAGTCCAGGCTCTTTATACTCTCCTCTAGAGGTGTGTCTGCATGAGGATTATGGGTTGGGGTCCACACTGCTAGGCCTAAATAAACCTCTTCAGGCAGGACTCCACAGACAAACCTACTACTTCAACATGGTTTGTTATCTCTGGTCGTTAGATGGATGAACAGTTAGTTTACTTGGTCAGACATGTTTAACTAGACATCTTAAATTGTCTTCAAGCTAAAGAGTTCATGGTATCTATGTGATACCAACTTTGGCTTTTATTTTCTTATTTTGCAAAGTGAAATAACTAGAGCTGAACGATAAATCAATTCATATCACAACTACAATTTCAAAGATAGATTTATTGAAGCCAATAGTTGCATCGTGTCTGCAACATAAATGTGACGTTAATTCTCTGAGTGGGACAAACAACTCTGTTGTTTCATGAAACAATTTAGACACAAAACGCTCTTCGAAAACCAGCAGTTTATCATTATAGCTATAACTTGCCAAATACGTAGCTGTTTTTTGCCCTAGAGTTACAACTGGTCGTCCACTAATCGGAAGATCAGCGGTACGATCTCCGGCTCCCTCCATGCCGCTCTTTTATGATAGGTGTGTGGGAGGAAAAATACAGAGGCAAAGGAAGAGAGGACTCCCAAACTCTGTCTTTTTACTTTGACTAAACTTTATAAACGATGCACGACGGTTCGACCTTAGGTCTTCAGATAAAAGGTTTTTACCTGATGAAGGTCAAAGGACCTTTGTGCACTACAAAATGGTTTTTAAATATTTAGGATCCCTAATTATTATTTTTCAATATCTGAGCAGGGTGGGAGAGGGACATGTGCAGGAAGTCACTCAATTAAGGGAACATGGGATCCTAGTACCAGTTTGCATCCTAACAATACAATACAACAGGTCTTTGCTTCTGGCACCATGGCCCACCATTAAGTCACAGTTGTAGCCCTCTAAGAGAAAAAGTTTGGGCACCCCTGTACTAGAGGGTACGGACCGAAAAACCCCAAATGACAAAACCCCCCCAAAACAACTGACCATTCACTAAGCCCAACCCCCCTTAGTTACTGTTGCTATGCCCATAAAGCTATCCAGTCTAGCACTGCACATATGCAGTTTACAATGATGACAATGGTTCATTTGACCACTTAAAACTTACAGTAAGTTTTAAAACAATGGATCTCAGATTTTAGGCAGAGGAAAGCAAAAGAAGCTTTTCATCCTCAGTTGACGACTTGATTTGAATGACGTAAATGACCACTTTCACTGACAGCTTTTGTTTAGCTGTAGCTAGCTAGCTAAATAACATTAACTCTGTGAGTTGTTTGGAAAACTCCACCCCTAGCTGACTTTGTAATGTTTCTTATTGACTCTTGTGAAAATGAGAAACCAGCATTTGGGTCTAAAATATTCCTTCATTAGATGGCTACATACATGATATCATGCCAGCTCTGCACTATGTAACTATGTAAATAAGACTGAGGCTAAAGCTTAGAGGTCCTAGGTAAAAGGTCATTATCTTCATGAATCGATGA